CCGCCCCGCCCCTCCCCAGCGCCCCTCCCTCTGCACATGGGCATCCACCGGACAGCCCCAAGTGGTCCCAGCTTGCAGAGGATGGTGCACAGGGGAGACAGGAGCCTGGTCCTCAGAGCGTCTCTGAAATGTTACGGCATAGCACGTTACTCCTTTCAACTTAAGAAAAACCCAATCCAGTGATTTCTCTTCCGTTGCATGCAAAACTACAATAATGGAGTTACTTCTAACTGATATGAAATATTATAATTTTATTTTACCAAGTAATGCTGCTTGAGGATTTTGGAAAAGCAGTTCTGGACATTATTTCTGATCTTACTGACACCTTTCTGTCGCTGGCACTGTTTTAGAGGTTTACACACACGGCACGATCATACAACATCATAGAGTTGTTCATAAAGCAATAACTGATTTTCATCTTCTATTAAGAAAAGTTTTTAGATACACAAAGTAGAAAGAGCTGCTTAATGATGAGACAAGTCGTTTAAAAATGTGCCAGAAGCTGTGCGATCTGTGGAAAGGCGGTGATGTGGGCATACATGGTCCCAGCTGGAGACAATACGAGTCTGAATAAGGAAGGCCTTTGGTGGGTGGGCCCCTGCGACTCGCTCCTGCACAGCCAATGTGTCTGGGGTATGACAGCACCGGGCGGGCGTGAGGGGCGGGGGGCCAGGGCATCAGTAAGCATTTATTGAGCACCTACTATGGAAAGGTGTCAAGGAGGGTAGCGATGCAGCTTCGTCCACAGGTAGGCGGCCAGGCCTTCTCAGCCGATGGTCTTCGTGTTCTGTGGCGAGCAGAAGATGGTGCCATCTGCCAGAGGCTAGATATGACATTTTCTCAACCCTAAGTCGGGGGGTGCAGAGGTGATGAGATGGGGACAGACATGCCAAACCCCAAGAATAGTGCTGCCCCCCAGATGGTGCTCAGCAACATAGCTCAGCTCCTGGGGACCCACGTGGCAAGGACACCTGGCTCGGGCCCCCCACCCAGGCGTGCGGGGCCTCCCTCGGCCGGTGCCTCCAGGCGAAGAGGTCCTCTGACTCCCGTCCTTTCTGGAGGCCGCGTGTTTTGCTGCTAGAACCCCCAGGTGTTCACGGGGATCTGGCTAAAGGTTACAGTAGAGCAACTTCCCCGAAGGTCAGCACATGGGCACAGGGAGTCACTGAGCAGGTCTGAGGTGTGTCCGTGGCCAGCGACACGGAACCCCATGGCGAGTGATTTCCTTTCCTCCTCAGTCAGCTGTTGGGTGACCCCGGGGGACAGCGCACGCGGGTGCTGCCAGGCCTGCAGCCCCCGTCCAGTGCTTCTGAAAGAAAGAACTTTCTTAAAGAAAGAACGAGTGGGCTCTGAGCCCAGAGTCTTTGCTGTGCAACAGCAAGTTGCCAGAAAAGAAGAGAAACCAAACGAGTTGTTTTATTATCCATGCGTTTATTTTTGCCGGCTCCTGTACACTTTGAATCGATTTCCCTTTACAGTGCTGATTTGAAATTTCCTTTGTAGGTTAATTTATTTGAATAAAAACATGAGTTGATTGAAAGGAAAACATTATTACTAATAGTGGAGATGGTAAAAATTTGGATGGGGTACACAGATGCCTCACATTTGGGAAATGATAGTTGGGCACATACTCCTGCACAGAACCCCAAGTCCTCCACTCACCTCTTTGCTCCCATTTTCTCCTCCCTTCTGAGTGCCCCACTGCGACTCCCAAGACCATGTGTGTGCAGCGTTGGGGGTGGGGGGGCTGGTGCCCTGAGGCCGTGGCCAGATGGGGTGAAAGCTGGGCTCTGGCCCCAGGTCACCACGATGCCCGAATACCTCCGGAAACGCTTCGGCGGCAACAGGATCCCCACCCTCCTGGCTGCGCTCTACCTGTTTATCTACATCTTCACCAAGATCTCGGTAAGGTGGGGACCTGCTGGGGAGATTGGCCAGGGCCCCTGCTGGGTGTCTCCACCCATGAACTTTCTCCTTCCCTTGGACACCTCCAGGGCGCCTAGAGGGCGCTGGGCGGGTAGGTGGGCATGGGCAGAGGGCGTCGGGGGAAGGGTGGAGGAAGGGACTCCCAGCTCCTGCCAAAGCTTCCTTGGCAACGCCTTGGGCGGGGCGGGTCACTGACTGCACCGGACTTCGATCTTCTCCTGAGATAGACCATGATCAGCTGTGATCAGCGGTGCTGATAGCCTTGGGCTGCCCGCCCCACCCTTGGATGGGCAGAGCTCCTGGGAAGTGGCCAAGAGCAGGGGCGTGTGCCTCTCAGCCAGCCTGGCTCACGCTGTCTCGTCCAGCTGGAGCCGGGACAGCTTGTCCTGTGGAGGGTGAGGGGGGCCGAGGAGTGCTATTCCATCCGAACAGTAACTGGCTCCACGCCGGGGAAGCCTCCACAAGGGAAGTTCTGTCGGAGGAGGCGTTTGGAGAGGGGAATTGGCTTTCCAGAAAGATAAATTAGAACACGCCAAAGCTGGGAGGCATGGGTGGGCATGCCTTGTTTCCAAGGACCCCGAGGACTGGAAATAGGAGGCGAGTGACGGAAATGAAGCCAGGCAGCAGGCAAATCACAACAGGCCTGGCATGAAACTAACTTACTCAGGACCCTGTGGGTCTGGAGCCACTGGAGGGCTTTCCTGGGGGAAGGACCAGATGAGATGACCACGCCCGCATGTGATTAGGTGCACTGAGGGCGGTGTACGAAGACCAAGGCAGAAACCGGACCACTGAGGAGGTTGCTGTATTAGCCCAGGGAAGGGGTCTCAAATGTAATTGCCCACAAGGCTCCAGTCTGAGACCCCAAATCTGGAAGGAGATGGGTGAAGAAACAAAATGTATGATTCCTCTGTGTTTGCCTGAATCCAGGCTGCGGGAACCTCTGCTACACACATCTGTCCAACCATCCATCCGTCCACCCACCCACACATCCATCCATCTACTCACCCACCCATCCACCCACACATCCATCCACCCATCCATCCACCCACCCACACATCCATCCATCCACCCATCCATACACCCATCCACACATCCATCCACCCAAGCTCTCAACTACTTGCCCATCCATCCATTCATTTTATGTTTCTACAGGTGGACATGTATGCAGGTGCTATCTTTATTCAGCAGTCTTTGAAACTGGATCTGTACTTGGCCATAGTTGGGCTGTTGGCCATCACAGCTCTATACACTATTGCAGGTATGACTGAATAAGGGGTGGTGCTGGGAGGGGTGGTGGGCAGGGGCTGTGCCACCCCATCTTTTCCCAGCCTATCTTCTGGTGTTCTACTGTGTTAAGACCATTTATCCATTAAACTCCACTTCATTGCCTCAGATAACATGATTTCTCTTAGCTGTTGTCCTACGGAAGGAGGTTGCCCATAAGAGAGAGGATTTAAAATGCAGCGCAGCTGCATCAAGCATTTCCCAATTACTCAAGACCTGGTTATCGAGGACCTACCAGGAGCTGCGCCTGTGTCTCACACGCACTAAACAGGCTGGGCCACAGACCGCTTTATTCTGGAGCCTGAGGCGGCACAGCCTCATCTCTGCCCCTCAGGCTTGCATCCTAGACCTACTGGACTCTGACTGGCACAGCGTAGAGGAGTATCTGGTTTTGAATCCTCACCTTCCCTGCCTCTTATTGGTGTAGTCGACTTATTCTGTTGTCTGTATATCACCTCCCGTATGCCAGACATCGTGCTGGGAGGAGGGTGAAGCAGCGAACAGATGGACAGTCTTTGCCCAAAGGAGCTTACGTGCTCGTGGGGATGGGAGGCGTGAACAAGGAAACCAGTGCACAGTGTCAGGTGTATTGTCACAACTAGCAAGCGTCAAGCAGGAAAATTCAGCGGGTGAGCTGGGGAGGGTGGGGAGGGCTTTTCCATGGGATGTTGAGCTGTGGTGACGGTTGAACCAGACTTGAGTGATGAAGGAAGTAGCCACGAGGCGCAGGGGAAGCGCTCCAGGCAGAGGGAAGGACAATCGCAGGCTCTGACATGAGAGCACGGTTTGCCTGTTTGCCGGACAGCAAGGGCGATAGATGTGGCTGAGGCTGAGCAAGCACAGGTCCAGGTTGTGCCCGCCCATAGGCGAGGCAGTGACACTGAGGGCTGGGACCAGAGCCTGGAAGGACACGCAATAAGCCTGGATTGAGGGCTATGCGCTGTGGGACCACGCTAAGGCCTCTGCTGCCAGAAGATCACGGCTGAGGTTTCAGCACGGAGAGGAGCGTGTGCCTGAGCCCAAGGGAAGGGAAGGGCCGGCCACGCGTGCAGTTTATCTTCGTGTCTCCTTGTTTGGGCCTGTCTCCCCATTAGACTGTAAGCTCGGGGAGGCCTGGCGGCCTGCTGTTCTGTTCGCCTCTGTATCCCACTGTGTAGAACTAGGTGGGGACTCACCAGATGTCAGCGACGATCGAATGAGATACTAAGCCCAGCGCCTGGCACATGATAAATGCCCCCTAATCCTTGGCATCAAAATGATGGTGGGCGTCAGTGGTACCAAACTTCAGATTCTCACCACGCTCCAACCGGTGAACTACCCGGCAGGACAGCAGGGCATTGGGGCCAGAAGCCAGGCAGGTCTCTCCCAACGACGGAGCGTCACAGGAGAACTCCACACCCACGGGATGGACTTTATTGCACAGTGACCTTGCCCACCGGTACACGTGTTTATGTCAGACAAGGGAAGAGGGAGGAGGGAGGGGTAGGGAGGAGACTGCCCTGACCGGGATTATTACAAGCATTTTTTTGGTGGCAAAACCAAGAATCCTCCCAGGCCAACCGCCATGACCCTGTGCGGGAAGCCTGTTAGGGCTCTGAAGACCTCGCATCCCTTTCCTCATGTTAGAAGCAAAGGGATTCAGAGCGTGGGACTGCGGCCCAAGCGCCACTTCCCATGCCACTTGGCAATTACTGGGTACGGACACTGGCGAACTTAGGGGCTTAAAACAATGGTGATCGTTGCCCACAGTTCATTTCACGGATTGTCTGCTGGTGGGTTTTGCTGGTCCCGCCTGCTCCGTTGAACTGCCGTTAGGTGGCACCGGGAGCAGCCAGCTGGAGGCAGAGGGCCTCCCTCCCAGGGATGGGGTCTGCCTGGGCGGTCAGCTGGGCGCTCCCTCCATGCGGACCATCCTCCACTGGGCTAGGCAGGGCTCCTTAAAGCAGGATGGTGGCCCTGGCCAGTGTTCCCAGTGGTTAGAGCGTTAGACCTCGGACCGAAGGGTCCCAGGGTCAATTCGCAGCCCAGTCCAGTCGGGGTGCGTTTGGGAGGCAACTGGTCGATGTGTCTCTCTCACATAAATGTTTTTCGCTCTCGCTCTCGCCCTCCCACTCTCTCAAAAAAAAAAAAAAATCAATGGGGGAAATATTTTCCGGTGAGGATTAAAAAAAAGAAGAAGAAGCATATTCTCAGGGCAACAGAGGAGCAAGCACAAGAGCTGAGGTCCCCTGGAGGCCGAGCTGCACGATGTCATTGGTCAGAGCCAGCCGTGCTTGGTAGGTAGAGGGATCCACGTCGCCTCACCCCGAACAGCGCGGCAGAGCTGAGCTGCAAAACGGGAATGTGGCCATCTTTGCAGACCGTTAACCCTGAGAGATCTCCACCGCTGGATCGTGACGGTCAGGGTCCCTCGGTGACGCAGAGGAACTCCTCCCCGTCAGCGTGCCGACCCTCCGCTCAGTCCTCGCCCCTCCCTCCCCAGGTGGCCTGGCCGCTGTCATCTACACGGATGCTCTGCAGACTGTGATCATGCTCATAGGAGCATTCACCCTGATGGGCTACAGTAAGTGGGGTCCCCGGCCACTGGGGTGGATGCCCGCACTCCCTCAGCAGGGCATCTGCCCTCACCGCTGGGACCAGCACACCCAGCTGTCGGAAGTCCTGCTTGAGGCACGGTGACTTAGCGGAAAGCAAACGGTGCTTATGAAAACTTGCTGGTTTTTTAAAGTAAAAATTAATAGCTCGCCTATATTAATATGGATGAGTGATTAAATAAATAAATGAAGGGGGGTATTTTTTCATCATTTCACTCTCAGCCTATCTATGCCTTTATATTCTAAGCAGGTTCCTTGTAGGCATCATATAGTTCAGCGGTTCTCAACCTGTGGGCCGCGACCCTTTGGGGGTCGAACCACCTTTCACAGGAGTTACCTAAGACCATCGGAAAACACATATACAATTACATATTGTTTTTGTGATTAATCACTATGCTTTAATTATGTTCAATGTGTAACAATGAAATTGGGGGTCACCACAACATGAGGAACTGTATGAAAGGGTCGCGGCATTAGGAAGGTTGAGAACCACTGATATAGTTGCTTTTTAAATCTAATCGGACAATCTCCACCTTTCAATTTGTGTCTTCGGGTTAATTCCATTCATGTCATTATAGATAGGGTTGGATTAAAATCTACTACTTGCCAGTTGTTTACTTGTCCCATTTGTCCTCCAGCTCCATTTTTCTTCTTTTTAATCCTCACCCGAGGATATTATTTTAGTGCTGGCCTAGGGTTTGCGGCAGTCATCTCCGTCTACCATAAAAAAATTTTAAAAAGCCTTTTCCAATGTGTAACCTGGTGAGCGCCACATTAGTTCGAGGTAACCCCGAATCCTTCCAATCCTTCTGAATGAAAGAAGCAGATTCCAAATGGCAGAACTTGATTCTTTCTTGGAGTCGCTCACGCTTATGCGGACCCTGTGCCCTTGTGGGTAGTGTCTCGAGGAGCCAGCTCCATCCAGCCCATGAGGTTGGCGCCACGGGGCCCACTGACAGATGAGGAAACAGCCTCAGAGAGGGGAGTCGCTAGCTCAAGGCCACACATCTGCGCACCGCTCTTGCGATACCTGAACTGAGAGGCGCTGAGACGTTCAGAGGAGAAAGCATGCTTCCTTAATGCCAGGCCGCGTAGCCTGGGGCCTCTGAGCAGAATTCAGGGCGTCTGTGAGCCTTGGATGGGGTGGGGGTGGGGGGCAGGAACCACCTCTATTTTATGAATCTATCATTGAAATGTTGCATTTTTCACTTATAAATGTAGGCATTGAACCATGGCAGTATTAGCCATGCCTGTGCCTTTGGTCCCCCAGCATGCACCAGATGTTCTTATCCGGATGTTCTTTTTTTTTAAAAAAAAAAAAAAATATTTTATTGATTTTTTACAGAGAGAAAGGGAGAGGTATAGAGAGTTAGAAACATCAATGAGAGAGAAAGATTGATTCAGCTGGCTCCCGCACACCCCCTACTGGGGATGTGCCCGCAACCAAGGTACATGCCCTTGATTGGAATCGAACCTGGGACCAGTCAGTCCGCAGGCCGACGCTCTATCCACTGAGCCAAACGGGTCAGGGCTTATCTGGATGTTCTTACAGTTGATGCTGATGCATTGAAAGCCTGTTTGTGTTCAGGGCTGCTTTGAAACAACATTGTTATTAGCTCTCCTTCTAGGTTTTTACTACTTAATGTGCAAATACATAAATTACTAGCTCATAGTAGCTTTTACGTTTTGATGATTGCCTTTCCTACATTTGATTTCCTTGACAAGCCTACCTATTTTGTGTGATGCATTTAGCAATCTTATTCTGAAAAGCAATCCATCCATACTCGCTACCAAAGGCATTAAAAACACAAAAAAAGAGCCTGAGACCTGTAAGGTGCTAACTTGCCTTGGTAGCCATCGTCCGAGTGGGGCTTCACTGTCCCCACCAATCCTGCTACCGCTGGGCTCCCTCTGAGCTCCCTCAAGCGCTCCCCCTGACGTCCAGGTTTTGCTGCGGTCGGAGGGCTGGACGGCCTGGTGGAGAAGTACTTCCTGGCCCTGGCCACCAACCGGACTGAGAACAGCAGCTGCGGGCTGCCCCGGGAGGACGCCTTCCATATCTTCCGAGACCCGCTGACCTCCGACCTCCCGTGGCCCGGGATCCTGATCGGAATGACCATGCCGTCCCTCTGGTACTGGTGCACGGACCAGGTACGGCCCGCGCCAGCGCCCTGGGCACGCTGTGGGGTGGCTGTGCCCCGCCTCCTCCCCGCACTGTTCTCTCCTCTGCCTTTCTCCCCCACCATCCTTGATCATGCCTCCCTTCCTACTGTTCTACACGTTATCTTACTTCTTGCTCTGCTCACGTGATGGCAAAGTTTAATACACCCTGCCGGCTGCCCGGGAAGCAAAGGGAGAAACCTTCTAAGGGAGGATAAAACTGGGCCGGGTGTTGTTTGCTCAACACTCACTGGGCGTCATCTAAGTGCCACTTGGAAATCACCAGTAAACAAACCGGCGGGGATTGCGGAGCTCGCGGAGGGACAGACAGACAGACAGACAGACAGTAAGTGATGTGCATGTCACAGCTGGTGAGTGGCATTAACCAAAGCAGAGCAGGCCGGGGCTGGCTCAGTGGCTGAGCGTTAGCCTATGAACCAGGAGGTCACAGTTCACTTCCCGGTCAGGGCATGTGCCCAGGGACGGGCTCAGTCCCCAGTGGGGGGCGTGCAGGAGGCAGCCGAGCAATGATTCCCTCTCATCACTGATGTTTCTATTTCTCGATCCCTCTCCCTTCCTCTCTGACATCAATGAAAATATATACTTTTTAAAAAGTAGAGCGGGGCCCTGACCGGTTTGGCTCATTGGATAGAGTTTCGGCGTGCAGACTTAGAGGTCCCGGGTTCGATTCCGGTCAAGGGCATGTACCTTGGTTGCGGGCACATCCCCAGTGGGGGGTGTGCAGGAGGCTGCTGATCGATGTTTCTCTCTCATCGATGTTTCTAACTCTCTATCCCTCTCCCTTCCTCTCTGTAAAAACTCAATAAAATATATTTATTTAAAAAAAGCAGAGCGGGGACAGAGCGGTTGGGTGTGGGGTGCAATTCTAAATAGGGGGGTGAGGGGAGATGTGCCTGGGTGACCTGAGCGCGGGCTCAGGGTGGAGAGCAGGGCTCCATCTGGTGGTGGCGGGAGGAGCGTTGGCAGCAGAGGGCACCGAGGAGCACAGCTGTCGGGCACCGTAGCTGGTGTGAGAACGGAGGGAGGAAAGCAGACGACAGCGGTGTGTTACACGCCCGTCCGTACAGGAAAGAGAACGGACTGAACCTCCGCACTCACGGGGACGTGCATGGAGGCCTCCGGGTGGGCGCCCTAAAACGGAAAAGGGCAGGTATTGTGGGCAGAGGCGCCAGGGCGGGACCGCTTCCCTGCACAGCCACCTTCTCAGGTTTCAAACCCAGTGACTATGTCTCCAGTTGAAATGTTTTGTTTTGTTTTCTGCTACATCAACAGTCAGACCCGCGTACCGTTTAAGCTGCACAGTTAGAGCTGATGCGAGTTTAACTAAGGGAGGCACTGCCCAGAGTGCAGCGAGGTCACCGCGTGGCTGACCTCCGCAGGAGAGCTGAGCACCTCGGCAGCGAGGGTGCAATTCCACACGCAGCCCCTTTAAGCGGCAGACCCCGCCCCCTCCTTAGAAAGCTCAGGTGGGGGAGCCCAGGGAGACAGGTAGGGTCTAGGCTGGCAGCATGGGCTCCGCCTTGAGCAGACCCAGGATCCGGTCTAGGCAGCATCTCCGTGAGGCACGATTTACACCTCAGCCTCCGTTTCCCGTTAAGTGGGGTTACTGATAGTTTTGAAAGAGGGGAGCATGGGGAACTGGGTCACAGTGCTCTTGCTGCAGGGACAGTTAATACGCATTAAAAACACAGGTTTTGGGGGTTTTAAAAAATATATTTTATTGATTTTTTGCAGAGAGGAAGGGAGAGGGATAGAGAGTTAGAAACATCGATGAGAGAGAAACATCGATCAGCTGCCTCCTGCACACCTCCTACTAGGGATGTGCCCACAACCCAGGTACATGCCCTTGACCGGAATCGAACCTGGGACCCTTCAGTCCGCAGGCCGGCGCTCTATCCACTGAGCCAAACCGGTCAGGGCCGCACTTAGGTTTTTACACGGTGTATGGTACTGCTGGGCACCGCTGGCCAGCTTACATCAGTCAACCTCCACCCGTTTCCTTGAGAGTCCTCAGGCCCGTAGGAGCTGCACTCCAGTGTGTACCCTCCAGGCCACTGCCGGCCACCGGCTTTGTTCAAGAATTGGAGGCTTATCCAAGGGGGCTCCGCCTCCTTCCGAGGGCCAGGGCGGGTGAGAGGGTGCAGGCGCTCGAGTGAGCCCCACGCGCCCATGACGACGACAACAGTGATGATGACGAAGACGACGACGACGCGTTGACTGCACAGTGTTGCTGTTGATCTGGGTCGGCAGAGCCCAGAGACTGTGGTCACCATGCGATGCCTTCGCCAGCACAGCCTTAGGCTCGTGATAGAGCAGAAGACAGGCAAGGCGACACCCACTGCTCACGGACTGCGAGCTCGGGTGGATCGTGCTGGGCAGACACGGAGGAGGTGACTAAGGATTGCTAGGAGTAACGGCACGTGCCTGTCCCCATCTCCCGCCGGCTATGCATAGTGCACCCCCTTCTCGAACACTGTGAGCCTGGAGGCTATTGCCCAGGGACACCCTCTCCGGCTGATGGGTTTTTGAGCAGCTCAGCTGCCTGGAAACATGCTCCGCTGTCTCCTAAATTCGTATCTGGAGGCTCTACTTCGAGGAATAAGAGCCAGGATTCTCCTCGGTCCCAGCTCCTCCCTAGAAACACTGTTGCCAAAGCAGGCTCTTTCCTGGGCTCCACATGGACGGGCCAGGACCGCGGCTGCCCCGCGTCACCGAGCAGGAAGAAGCATCTGCAGGCCTGACACCCTCACGTTTCCCCACCGCGTGCTCACAGGCCTCCGCTCCCCATGAGAGGTGCCTGTTTGGAATCCTGGGAAACGACAGAAACAGTGACACCAACTTCTCAGCACCATGGCTCCGGGCTCCGGAGGGTGGCCTCCCTGCGCCTGTCTGCCTCGGACACGCAGCTCCCACATCTTAGTCTTCGGTTCCCTCACCATTGTCTTCCTTTCTTTGGCTAATCCTCACCAAGGATATTTTTTCCATTGATTTTTTTAGAGAGAGTGGAGGGGAAGGAGGAAGGGGAGAGAGAGACACATCAGTGTGAGAGACACATCGATTGGCTGTCTCCCACACATGTCCTGGGAGCTGGGGATCAAGCCTGCATCTGAGGTACCTGCCGTTGACCAGGAATCAAACCCACGACCCAACACTCTGACGGCTGAGCCACACCGGCCCGTGCACCCTCGTCTTCCTTTCTCACCCGCTGACTTTATTGTCTCCCACGCAGGCCAACAGGAAGGGGCTGGCAATGGCTAAGTCCACATCCAGCCCTGCAGTGCCGGCTCTGCTGGGCCCAGCGGGGGCCGGGTGCTGACCCCGGGGCTGGGCGCTGTGCCCAGGATGGTCGGCAGCTTGTGAAGAGGGCATGGATTTCAAAGGAGGGGGCAGGACACCAGGAAGACTCCCCCACTGATGTCCACAATAAAACCAAAGGGGTTCCAACGTGATCCTGCTCGCCACCACATCGCCATGGTAACGACACAGTTTACTCCTGTGAAGAAAGGGGCTGGTACCCACCAGGCCTCTCCCTTCTCCAGATGCTCCAGGACCCACGGCCTAAGGAAGCAGGAGAGAAAGCTCTGAGCGTGGGATCCAATCTGGAGGCTGGAGGAGGATCTAGGGGACCAGTCTGGGCAGAAAACACTCTGGGGAAAGTCGTGCGCTTCGAGCGGCTAGATCTCGGCAAGGCCTACCTTCACCCCACCCGACAGAGAGGTTTTGAGGAGGCACCAGACACGGAGGAGGAATAAGAGCCAGGATTCTCCTCGGTCCCAGCTCCTCCCTAGAAACGGCTGTTGCCAAAGCAGGCTCTTTCCTGGGCTCCAAATGGACGGGCCAGGACCGCGGCTGCCCCGTAGGCACAGTATGTAACGTAGCCACAAGCCCAGACATCCCAATCCTGCCGGCAGCCATGCGCCAGGCCCTCGTGGTCCCTCTCTCCACTCCTCACTCCAACCAGACCGGCACGCTGGCTTCTCGCCTCAGTCCTTCTAAGGCCCCTCCACCACCAGGACAAAGATCACTCAAAAAAGCAGCCAGGCCATTACACCTGCCGGGGACTCCCCCGACCACCTTCCTGCTGCGGCCATGGCCAGTGTTAGCTGTTTTCCGTGTCTGAACTGTGGTTGCGTGGCTGTCTGATCTGGTTTCCGAGCTCTAACGCTAACTCCCTTCTCTTCTGGGGACCTGTTTGAACGTCTTTCTCTGGCTTCATCCAACAACAGCAGTGACGACAATAATCACTAGTGGTCTCGCTGCGTAAGAACTGCTAAGCACCTCAGAGCAAGCAGTTGGGATCCCCATTCGGCAGATAGGAAGACTGAGGGCTGGGACTTTAAGGAACTTGTCTGCGCTCACAGAGACCTGGTGGGGCGGGGATCCACCTGAGTCTGTCTGCCCTTCTAACCTCTCTATTCATTTGCTCCGACTCACCCACTGAGGGTCTTCATTCTGGGGTTTATCCAGAACCTCGTGTAAGAGAGAACCTCCCAGCTGCATACCCACCGCCTGTCGCCAAGCCCACCACCACGACCTCCCCTGACAGGCCTCCCGCCTTCCCACCAGAGAGGGGACGTCTGTGGCTGCTGCTGTAGGCGGATGGAGGGGGCAGATGCGTGCCAGGTGCCGGGCGGGTGAGCGGAGCTGGGTGAGGGCCCTGCCCCCACGCGTTCATTCCTCCCGGTCACCTTCTTCCAAGCCAGCTGTTGGTTCCCTGCTCAGTGCCACCTGACTACTGTCCCTTCTAGGGCCTGAGAGCTACACAAGCAGACTCCAGTCTGGGTGGCCACTGTGACCGGGCTCTTTGGGGTCCTGGCTGCGGACTGGGGTGTCCAGTGGGACAGGTGCCTGCCCTGGGGGGGTCCGCAGGCTCAGGTGGTGCCGTTGTCATGGAGTTGGACATTGTCCTCGATCATTTTGGCGTCTTCTGGCAATTATGTGACAGGGTCCACGGCCTGGAGATGAGACACCCCTCAAACAGTTCCCCCCCAAAGAGATGTGCATGCCTGCACTGTGGAGCTGCCACAGGCGGGGGGTGGTGGGGGCCGGAGCAGATCCCACCTCTTGACACTTCCCTTTAAGGATTCTTGGCTGATTTGGTGAGGACCTTAGTTGTCTGCAGGAAAAAGACAGTTTAAGTCTTTATTTTCTTGATCGAGAGGTGGTAATATCAACAGTAACAATGAATATTTATTGGGCAGTTATTGTCAGACCTTATTCTAAATATTCTAAATGGTTAGACTTCATTTAATTGTCGAAACAGTTCTCATATGCTCCCCATCTTATAGATCAGGAAACAGGCAAGGAGAGGTGAAAGTGTTTGCCCACGACCACAAGCAGAGAAGTGGGGAGCGGGACTTGACCCCCAGCTATCAGTGTGCAGATCGGCACGGAAGCCAGCCTGGCAGCCGGACTGAGGGCTCAAACGGTGCCATCAGAACGGCTTCTCCGTACTCCAGCTCCTCGCCTCCTCCCTTGAGATGACTTCCCTCTCAGGCCTCCTGGTGGAGGCGGAGGCGGAGGCAGCCCGGGCAGGGAGCCCCCAGGCGGCTGCAGGCGGGAGGGGCCTCTGGGCTGTGCCCTTTGGGGAAGAGGTCCGGTGGGGCTGTAACTGGCCTGCACTGGGTGCTGGGTGCGCACATTTTCTTCACCAACCACGGCGGCCAGGGAGCGGGACGGGGCAGGCGGGGTGGTGGTCACCCCCTGACCACAGGGGTGGGAAGAGGAGAGAGATGCCTCCTCAAGAAGCCAGGCGGACCGAGGCCTGAGCCCGCTGCGCCTGCAAGGACTGTGCCGCCAGCGTGCGGAGGCCACCCAGCGCCTCACCCACTGTCTTCCAGGTGATCGTTCAGCGGAGCCTGGCGGCCAAGAACCTGTCCCACGCCAAAGCGGGCTCCCTGATGGCCGCCTACCTGAAGGTGCTGCCCCTCTTCCTCATGGTCTTCCCCGGCATGGTCAGCCGCGTCCTCTTCCCAGGTGAGAGGCTGCGGGGGGAGGCCGCGGGTCTGCGTCTCAGGCCTGTGAAGTGTCTGGAACATTCTGCCGACCTGCTGAGAGCACGTGGCTGGAGGCCCTTCCTGGTGATGCAGCGGGTGTCTGCCCGGCTCTCTGCCACCTCCCAGCACTGGCACATCCCGAGGGCCAGCGAGTGGGGTGGAGGCCCCCTGGGCTGAGAGCTGTGGTCTCTGCCAGGCCCCTGGGGCCTCATGCTGAGACCTCCTCCCATCCCCAGGGTCCGGCCGGTAACGTTGGCCCAATGGAACCCTTTGGGGGACTTTCCTCAACAACAACCCGGGCTAGCAAAGCATGTGTGCGTGTGCGTGTGCGTGTGCATGTGTGTGTGTGTGTTGGGGTGTGTGTGTTGGGGTGTGTGTTGGGGTGTGTGTGCTGGCGTGTGTGTGTGTGTTGGTGTGCGCTGGTGTGTGTGCTGGTGTGTGTGTGCGTGTGCATGTGTGTGTGTGTGTTGGGGTGTGTGTGTTGGGGTGTGTGTTGGGGTGTGTGTGCTGGCGTGTGTGTGTGTGTGTGTGTGAAGGGGTGAGGTTTGCGCCGTGGGGACTGAGCAGGCCTGGGTGGTGGTACTGGGAGTGCTGGGCGCTGGGAGTGGTGATCTGGGCGGAAGAAAGCTCCTCAATGTCCACCCATGAGCGCTCCACCCGATGCCTCCTCCCCTCAGCCACACAGAGGTAGCGAGCGGGTAGGATGAGGATGCTGGGAGGTCGGGGGAGGGGGGGCACAGTCCTTCAGGACAGTGAGGATGGGAGTTTGGGTTTTATTTATTGCTTTATTAGTTTCCTTTTCTAGAAGCTGATAGTATCTTCTCTTCATCCTTCGTGTGCTGAAATCGTGTAAGGTGCCCGGTTGGATTTTTTCGTTGTGCTGAGTACTTTTGGACCCTTTTGATTTAAAGTCTTACGTTGCTCTCCCGGCCCTAGCCGGTTTGACTCCATGGATAGAGCCTTGGCCTGCAGACCAAAGGGTTCTGGGTTCAATTCCCGTCAAGGGCAGGTATCTCGGTTACAGGCTCCTCCCCCAGTACGGGCCCTGGTTGGGCACGTGCAGGGGCTCTGCCCTTTGCTGGCTGTGTGGCTCCAACACAGCACTCCATCTGTCTCGGTCTCCGCTTCCTCGTTGGTAAGTGGGCAGGACACTCGCCGAGGCTTAACGCGTTCCTGGTTGGGGACGGAGCCCTACAAGTGCGCACTCACTTCCACGCGCGTATCACCCTCCATTCCTCCACGGCCTGAGGCCAGCACTGTTGTCGTTTTCGGTGACAGATGAGGGAACTGAACTCTAGGCATACCAGCGGGGCGTGGAGGGGACTCTAGGTGGACCAGTGGGGTGCAGGGGACTCTAGGGGGACCAGCGGGGTGCGGGGACCATTGGCCCTTGGGCTTCCCAGTGGAAGGAAGGCCTGGGACTTTGCCGCCTCTTAGGTTTATGCCCCATTAGCAAGAGAACAAGCCACACTCTGGGCTTTTAAATTGTGGGCTCACATGGCCACGCTGAGTAAACGAGCAGCTTCAGCGCAGATAGAAACATAGAGGCTCATATTCAACCTCGCCTGGAGATGCTGCCCAACCCCAGCATCCGAGGCCAGGGTGCACTTGACCTCGAGGCCCTAAATGGTCACCGTGACGCAGGTGTTGCCTGAGAACCAGGGGGAGCTGGAGGGAGCCCCGGTTGCCACCGGAGGCGGTGGGAGGGCCGTGGTGCCCGTCAGAGAGGAAGACGGAGCAGAGGGCGGGCCTGGGAGCTACTTGTGGGCGTGAGTCCACCTGGAAAGGGAGGAGTCACAGTGGTCGGAGGGGTGAGCAGGTGGGGGGTGAGCGGGTGGGGGGTGAGCGGGTGGGCAGGCGTCAGTTAGCTCAGGTTGAGGAGCGGAGGAAGACAGAGGTGAGGAGAAAGCTGGCCTCTCCCTGGCCTGTGTGCTCGGGGGCTAGAGCGCGGGCCTGCGGATGGGAGGGCCCCGGGTTCAGTTCCGCTCAAGGACATGCGCCTCAGCTGCAGGCTCCAGCCCCAGCCCTCCCTTCCACCCTCTCTAAAAATCAATGGAAGAATATCCTCAGGCGAGGAGTAACAAAACAAGAAAGAAAGAGGAAGAAAGGAAGAGAAAGCTAGACTTCAGACACAGGTGCCAAATCACTGAGACAACCTGGAGAGTTCTGAAGGGCCTGGGGGGGGGCGGGGGGTGGAATTACCTGGGGGCCAGGGAAGGCTGAGGGGACGGGTTACCTGGGGGCCAGGGGAGGCTGGGGGGGTTCCCTGGGGGCCAGGGGAGGCTGGGGGGGTTCCCTGGGGGCCAGGGGAGGCTGGGGGGGTTCCCTGGGGGCCAGGGGAGGCTGGGGGGGTTCCCTGGGGGCCAGGGGAGGCTGGGGGGGTTCCCTGGGGGCCAGGGGAGGCTGGGGGGGTTCCCTGGGGGCCAGGGGAGGCTGGGGGGGTTCCCTGGGGGCCAGGGGAGGCTGGGGGGGTTCCCTGGGGGCCAGGGGAGGCTGGGGGGGTTCCCTGGGGGCCAGGGGAGGCTGGGGGGGTTCCCTGGGGGCCAGGGGAGGCTGGGGGGGTTCCCTGGGGGCCAGGGGAGGCTGGGGGGGTTCCCTGGGGGCCAGGGGAGGCTGGGGGGGTTCCCTGGGGGCCAGGGGAGGCTGGGGGGGTTCCCTGGGGGCCAGGGGAGGCTGGGGGGGTTCCCTGGGGGCCAGGGGAGGCTGGGGGGGTTCCCTGGGGGCCAGGGGAGGCTGGGGGGGTTCCCTGGGGGCCAGGGGAGGCTGGGGGGGTTACCTGGGGGCCAGGGAAGGCTGGGGGGTTACCTGGGGGCCAGGGAAGGCTGTGGTGGGTGTTACGTGAGAGAACGCTGCCCAGGGAAGCACAGGACGCGCACAGAAGTGCAGAAAGAGGGGTGAGGGTTCAGAGCCAGCGCAGCTGGGTTTGCATGCGTCTAAATGAGAAACAGCTGTTGCACCACCTGAGCTCCCGGGAAGGGGGGAAGGGAGAAGGCAAACACGTTTGCCACGTGTCAGCGACGCGCTGTCCTTTGCACCGGAGGAGCTCAGGCGTTGCTGGTGGCCCCTGTGGGGAGAAGGGGCTGGGTGGGGTGGAGCCAGTGCAGGCCGCTGAGCTGGGGCTGACGCCGGCCAGCTTCCCCCGAGCTCCGTGGTAGCAGCCGTTCGATTGCTGCCAAGGGCACATGCCCCGGTTGTGGGTTCGATCCCCAGTGGGGGGCGTGCAGGAGGCAGCCGATCAATGATTCTTTCTCATCATTGATGTTTCTCTTTCTCTCCCGCTCCCTTCCTCTCTGACATCAATAAAAGAAATATATATATTTTTTAAAAAAATTACAGATGAGGAAACGGAGGTCCAAGCAGGGAAGTCAGGAGGGTCATGCTTGTAAAGTCCAGGCTCCTTTGCACTTCACGGAGCCATGAAGTTACGTGCCCTAACCCTCCTCCCGGTGCGGGGCCGGGGGCAGGGGGCGCCCGCTCACCTCTGGGCCTGTCCCCTCCCCAGATCAAGTGGCCTGTGCCGAGCCCGAGATCTGCCAGAAGGTGTGCGGCAACCCCTCGGGCTGTTCTGACATCGCATACCCCAAACTCGTGCTGGAACTCCTGCCCACAGGTAATGCCCCCCCCCCCCCCCCCGCAGCCCCCGGGAAGGAGGGCACTGGCTGGCTCTGCTCCACCACGAGGGTGGTGGGAGGCAACAGGCTCGGGGCCGAGGGACTGAGCCCCAGAGCCAGGGCCCCGATGAAGCCCAGGCCCTGGCCCAGGAGGGTCCTCCCTGCCGCCTCATGGCGCCCACCTGGGTGCTGCGTTCTCAGAGGTGAACCTCCTGGGGTCGGCCTGGCCTGGGTCTGGGGTCATGAGTGAAGGCAGGGCTGTGAGCAGGAGAAGCCCGATGCCCACAGACCTCCCTTCTGCCCCCAGGGCTCCGAGGGCTCATGATTGCTGTGATGGTGGCCGCGCTCATGTCCTCCCTCACCTCCATCTTTAACAGTGCCAGCACCATCTTCACCATGGACCTCTGGAACCACCTGCGGCCTCGGGCGTCTGAGAGGGAGCTCATGATTGTGGGCAGGTGAGCTCTTCTTGGGTGGGGCCGGGCCAGGGAGGAGCAAGCTGAGCCCACCCAGAGGCCATGTCCAGTCAGCAACTTACCCAGCCTCAGCCTCCGCTGATGAGGTGCATTAGGACCCCATTCATTCATTCAAGAGATGTTCACCCTGGCCAGTGGCCCAGTGGTTAGAGTGTCGGTCCACACATGGACTGAAGGGTCTCAGGTTTAATTCCTGGTCAAGGGCACATATCTGGGTGCAGGTTCGGTCCCCAGCCCAGTCAGGGCATGCTGATATTCTCTCTCTCTCTCTCTCCCTCCCCCTCTCTCTTTTTCTTTTTCAATTGATTTTTTAGAGATTGGAAGTGAAGGTTTTTCCCTTCCTCCCACTCTCTATGGAAAAAAATATATGCTCAAGTGAGGATTAACAAAAATAAGATGTTCAATGAGCACCTACTATGTGCCAGATGCCAGATATAAAGCAACAAAAAGAAACAGCTCGGCTCTGTATTCATGGAGCTGGTGAAGGCTGAATAGCCAGGCAATGCAACCCCAACAGTGCTATGACTGTGAGTCAGGAAACTAGGGTTCAGAGGGGGGTCCCCAACCTGGACTGGGACCTGAGCCAGGTAAAGGGAGGAGGGTGTCCTGGGTTTTTTTTTTAGGGGTGGGGGGTAGGGAAGGTTTCTCTACCAAACCTTCTGCAAGTCCTGACGTCTAACAGGGGAACAGAAGTGACAGGAATGAGTGGCATGTAAATTTTATGTAAATACATGTAAATAAGCACCCTGGGGCTCTGTGTGGGTAGGTGTCCTGAGAGCGCTAGCAGCCTTGGGC